GTGCAAAGTCGAAAGGCTTCTGCAATCGCCACAACTCCTCAATTGACCGATTATGCGGCTTTCTGTAGTACCCAGAGGGCCTCGGGTATGCTTCTAAATAGAGGGCAGCGAATTCGATCAAAAGGCTTCGCGCATATATCCGGCTGCAGATTGTCTAGCTCCACTGGCTAATTCATGTAACGCGTATAAAATAGACGTTACAATGCGACATGAGTTGATGAGTGATTTAATGAAGACACGGAAAGAATGCGTACGGAAGAATAGGCGTACTTACTCAATACTTCATAATTTACTAAGGGCATACTTGAGCAGGGGCAAAATCCACTATATAGAAAATAATACACTATATAACACTATACTTGCGTCGCTCGCCACCAGAAACGCATGCTAGTTGTGCGCGCACGAACCAACAGTGACGCCTGTAGTTGTGGACGCGCCGCAGAATGAATGCACCCCCCGGGTCACAGCCTATCGCGCACAGGTAGTGAGAATTCCCACTACGCACCTAACCAAGCTAGCCAGATCACGTGCGTGTGCTGAGAGGTAGCGTTTTTGCCCCCTCCATCCATTAACATTTATTTACAAGTAAACTGCAATTAGCGTCTCGTCGGCGCCAAAGTGGCGGGCGCGCGAGATGAATAATTACACCGGCGGCTTATACCCGCATATAGCCCGCCGACCGGTGTGCAAGCAAAGTCGTAGGCAAATGATATGGATATAGACTCGTGCATAGACTCGTGCCGCCATCTATTGGACGCAATATCTAGTAGACAGATGTACACTGATTTAGAGTGATGGGGGGGAACTAAACGTCTGTTTTTTACAGGAAACAAAACGCGCCGAATAGCAAAAAATTTTGTGCGATCATTTTGAGCAGCTGTCTGCCTACCTGGGTAGTCAAAGCCGCCTTGCAATGGCCACAACTGCTAAAGGGACCGATAATACGACTTGAGCCCTTACTCGAAGAGCACATGTAAAGCTTTTTGAGTGAGGGCAGCGATCCTGTGTTAGTTTTTGCCGCGAGGCGGCGTTGGCGCGCTTCGCGCGGATATCCGGGCTGCAGATCGTCCAGCGCATTGAAAACTTTTCGCAAATCGCAGTCGGCGTGTTGAAAAATATATTTTTCACAACGCAATAGCGTTGCTATATTGCCATCTTTTCAACGCTGTCGGCGTGTGAAAAGATACGAATCGGGTGAAACAATCGGGTCCGTACGTCAATCAACACCGCTGCTGGCCATAACGCACTGATCGTACGCACTAGCGGCAAGCGCGGCGTGCGCCATCGGCTTTTCTGATGATTTACAGATGGGAGATTACTGTTGTTTGTATTATATGGGACCTGTCTGAGGGCGACGACTTGTACGTAATGACGGCTTATAAATGACGACTTAGGCGGGGCTATTCCAATGGATTTATTATGAGAGAAAATCTGGACTTTGACTTCCATGGCGACTTATGCGAATTGACGAGTTAGACGATGACGACTTATGCGAGTTTTACTGTAATTATAGAGTAAATTATACTGGCACTTTGAGTCTGGATTTGCTGGTGGCACGCATTCCGCTGACGTGTGCATTCAGTTTTTAACGAACCATGACTGATATAAATTGTTACAAACACGGATTGGCTAATTAGAGTGTGCAATACCCTAACACACTTTCTCTGCCCACCCCCGCTCCAACCATATCCTCCTCTGTCTCCCACCACTCTCTCGCGCATGATTTTCTTCCTCTTATCTGCTGCTTTTTTGTTCCTTTCCTTTCCGTTCTCCCTTACTCTTTCTCTATCTCTCTCTCTCGCGCGCGCGCTCTCTCTCTCTCGCTCTTTTTTGCGGACTCTATTTCTCGCGCTCTCTCTCTTTCTCTCTCGCGTGCTCTCTCTCCCTCTCCTCTATCTATATCTCTCTTCTTCGCCCCCTCCTTCTGTCGGACTGTCTCTCTCTTTCTCGTGTTTTTCTTTTGAGCTGTCTTTTCTCTCGACTCCCTCTCTGCAACACACTCTCGCCCGTCTATCTGTCTCGTTAGCTTTTGGTGACAGCGTGGATAGATGAGAGTGGTGCTACTGCTGTCTGCGGATACTTCGAATCTAATTTAAGTTGCACTCGAATCTGAAAGCGACAGGAAATACAGCAATTATAACTTCTTGCGGGTCGATGAAATCATGAAACGAGGAGACGACATCGCACGAAGATTCCATACGCCTTTCTCGGTCCTTTTTGAATTTTGAGTTCTATCAGGTATAACCTTGTATTAACAGCTTGAGGGGGAAAAACAGATGACTGGCTAGTAATTGTAGACGTCACAAATTGCGTTGTGGCAATCTCGCCGTCTCCGTTTTTTTCTTCCCGTCGACGCGATTCGATGATGGATAAGGGATAGCGACCAGTCTCTCACAACCGCGTTTTTCTTCTTCCATATTTTTCTCTTTTTTCCTTTCTTTTCCCCCTCTCCGTCTGCTCTTTCTCTCTGTCCCCCTCTCTCCCTCTTTCCCTCTTTCCCCTCTCTCGGCCCTCTTTCCTTCTCTCTCTCTCGCTCTTACTCTGGTATGAAATAACAGTTTGCTGATTCTCATCACCTGAAAAGCTCTCTTACAAACCTGCCATGCACTCGTATCTGACTTACGAGGCGACGGCGCTCTGCGCACGACGCTCGTCAGCAGTTTTACATTGAACAGCGCTATAGAGTAAGATACTCGTAGACCTCAATAAAGCGCTAATTCTAAGCTTTTTCACTGTTCTCGACGTTAAGCAAAGGCGTATATATCGGACAGTACGTTATGCGGGTTAGGGTTGCGGTGGGTTTGTGAGTAGAGTGGAATGCGAGGTCAGTAGTATAAGTGATGAAATATTTCGGGCAGAGATGCGCCGCGGGCGCCATGCGGCGGTTGAGAAGAGTTGATCATTGACTAGCCGCTTGTTTTGTTTATTTTTTTCTTAATAATATGGTGTACGGGATAGTAATGCCGAGCAAATATATATTAGCGCGCGATGTAATCATCAAAGACTGCCGGAAGCGTCACAAACACACGCAGCTGCATACACACCAAGACATCGCATCGCCACACATTACCCCTCACGCCACACACACACGCACACACACATACACACACACAAACCACAGCGGACGCACAACACACACACACACACACACACACACACACACACACACACACGCAACCACACGCACACAACGACAACACACACACAACACCACACACCACACAGCACAACACACACACAACATGTCACACACACAGCTGCACAACACGAACAGATCTCTGAGAGACGAGAGCGGAGCAGCAGAGAGAGAAGACGAGAACTGCGGTGAGAGAGATCTCGACGACTGCGACGGATCCCAGCTGCCTCTACTTGACGCCAAGATAGTGGACGACTGAGCGCGGGCGAGACGACTACGAGAGAGACCTGCGAGCAACAGAAGAGGCGAGAGATCTTGAGACGAGATGCGATTGAGAGAAGACTGGCGAGAGAGCGGACGATGAGAGAGGGACAGATGAGATCGAGAGAGACGAGCTGAGGAAAGGAGAGAGAGAGAGAGGAGAGATTGAGAGAGAGACGCTCTCCATAAGACGCTGATCCGGCATCCACTGCGACGAGAGACGAGACGAGCGAGAGAGAGAGAGAGAAAGGAGACGAGATGAGAGAGGAGCAGACGAGAGAAAGACTAGACCCCCGACCTGCTCCCCTTGAGAAAAAGGTGATTAGAGAGAGACGAGAGCGACGGGCACACCCTGTGTATGAGAGAAACTGAGAGCGGAGAGAGAGGAGAGAGAGCACGCAGACCGAGAGAGAGGAATGAGAGAGAGAGAGGAAGCGTGTTATACATGAGCATATGAAAGCTGCTTGTCTCCAACCATCGTAGCCTTTGATCTTAAACTATTCGGCCCTAGCTATGCAGGAGCCTTTTATCAAAGTAAATTTCCCCCGTTTTAATGATACTTTAATGCAGAAACACTTAAATTAACCACTAGGTGGCGATATTGTGCCTGCAGCTCTATACTGAAGCCCATAAGTCAAATTAATGTAATAGTGCTTTCGCATACAATAACTAGTTATAAC